AAACCCTAAAGTGACTCCATTTTTTAAATTAACCTAAGTTACCTAGATTAATTATCCCAATGTTTAAAGCACAGGCTGCGAACTCCGAGGTGGAATCCCGAGACTATGTCATGGTGATGAACTAACGTGGATGGAATGCTTTGCAAGGTGAATGATGGAGTTAATGAAATGTTTGTGTGATTTTGACCTTGCCGCGCCGGGGTGAAATCCGAACGTGGCTACGTTACTTTTTCCGTGTTTGAAATGGAAGATCAAAAGTCAACGTAGTTCGATAGGCCTCTTTTAGAGGGGCCCTTTTGAAATGGTAAGTGCTTAATGCAAGGGTGTGTATGCTTTGGTGCATTTTGTGTGTATAGCTTTAAAAGCATGATTTTGGTGTATGCTTTGTGCATTTTTGTGTGTAATGGCCTTGTGCCGTTGTTTAGCGCATTTTGCCGGAAAATTGAATTGATTTTAAGGCATTTGTGCCAAAATGGTTCAAATTTAAACGATTTGTCGCCTTAAAAAAGATTGAATTTTTTTAAGGCATTTGGCAAAAATGTCGATTTTAAAGTCGATTGTTCGCTAAATGGTTGATTTTAAAAACGGTTTTAAACCGAAATGATTGGATTTTAAGGAATTTTTTGCCCAAAAATGTCGATTTTTAAAGCGATTTTGTCCGCTAAATGGTTGAATTTTAACCGGTTTTTAAAAACCGAAATGGATTGATTTTTAAGGCAATTTGCCAAAAAATGTTCGATTTTAAAAAGCGATTTTGTCGGCTAAAATGGTTTTGATTTTAATGAAACTTTAAACCCGAAAAATGATTGATTTTTGAGGCATTTTGCCAAAAAATGATGTTCCGATTTAAAGCGATTTGGTCGCTAAAATGATTGATTTTATGACTTTAAGTCGAAAGTGTTTGATTTTTAAAAGGCGTTTCGCCAAAATGGTGTCGATTTTTAAAACCGACATTTTGGCCGTAAAAGTTTTATTTTTTGATTAAGCGGAAATTTTAGTTGACAGTGCATGCTTTTATGCAGTTATAGAATGATTGAAGTAGAAAGAAGCAATGCATGAAAGTGCTTAAAATTAAATAGGCGGATATTTTATTTACGTACTTGATTTAATCGTCGGCCACTTCTTAAACTCCAGATTAACTCCTCGTTTAGGTAGTTTAATTAATTTTAATTTTTGTTTAATTTTAGTGACCAAATATCACAATAAAAGTGCAATAAAATTAAATTACAAAGCAAAAAGCGGTAAAAGAAGACGCAAGGGAGCGTGAGAGAGAGAGGGTTTCGTCGTCAATAAGACATAGAGGTGTCAAAAACAGCCTGAAAAATGGCCTATTTATAGGCCATTTTCGGGTCCCGGGCGTGGCTGCCGCGTGCATGGCGGTAGCCACCGCCAGAAAAATCGGGGCGTAGCTTGCCGCCCAGGCTCGGCGGTAGCTACCGCTGTCGTGTGGGGCGACAGGGCCCCGCCGCGCAAGGGCGAGAGGCCCCGCGTGTGCTGGCGGCAGGCCTCGCCAGGGCGCGAGGGGGGGCCAGGCCCTGTGCGCGGGGCGACAGGCCTCGGCTCGCGGACGGGGCGAGAGGCCTCGCCCGCGCGGGGCGAGAGGCCTGCCCTCGAGCGGCGCGGGGAGGCCTCGCCCGCGCGGGGGGCGAGAGGGCCTCGCCCTGAGCGCGGTGCGGGAGGTCCTCGCCCGCGCGGGGCGAGAGTCCCTCGCCCCGCACGCGGCGCGGGAAGGCCTCGCCGCGCGAGGCGAGAGGTTTCGCCCCGCCGGGCGAAGTGGGTCTCGATCGCGCGCGGGCGGCGAGGGCCCTCGCCCGCCGCGCGGTGTGAGGGGCCTCGCCCCGCGCTGGGCAGGGTCCGCCCACGCTGGCGAGGGGTTCTCGCCCGCTGCTGGGCCGCCAGGCCCCGCCCGCGCTTGGCGGGGCTGTCGCCCGCGCTTGGTGGGGGCTGGCGCCGCCGTGGCCGGTGCGGCCACCGTGTGTCGCTTCGGGAAGCTGTTTTGGGAGTTTTCGTGACTCCGAAAAATATTCCGGGACCTGTTCCGCGATCCTCGTAAAATTGTCCGGACGTTTCAAGTAACCATATTGATATATTTTCGGTGACTCCGAAATGGGCCCTCTGGTCCGGCCGGGCCGTTTTGCAGTCCGGAAAAATTGGCTCTTTGAGCCTTGTGAGCAAAGTTACTTTAGCAAATGCACTGTAGCACAATTAAATTTGCTTGTAGCAAATTCATTGTAGCACAAGTCAAATTTTACTGTAAGCAACAGTCAACCAATAGGCTTTTTTTTGAGGCCCTCAAAATTGAGTATTCACAAACTGCCAGAAGGCCTTTGACACATAAAGAAATACTTGTTGAATCCACCGGTGCTCAGTTCAAACCAAGACCAGGAGAACCTCTTAATTTTATCTATCTGTAAAAGATGCAAGGAGTGGAGGCAATTGTTGGTTACAACCGGACGCCACGCGGAGTAGAAACGGCCATTTATTACTTTAGCAAGAAACTACGCCTACAGCAGGAGAGTACAACTTGGTGGAGAAAACATGCATGGCAGTAGTATGGTCGATAAAAGGAAGTTGGCGGCGGTTACTTTGATTCCTTCAAGGGTCACTTTTTTTCTCCAAATTGAATCCTCCTAAAGTATTTGCAGAAACGCCTACTCCTAGAGGGACGATGGTCTCAATGGTTAATTCAGATTGTCCTGGCGTGGATGCAGAAATTTCTAAACGAAGAAAAACGGCTCCCAAGAGGGTCGGGCCTGTAGCAGAATTCCCTAGCAGAAAATCCAATTGCAAGTGAGAACGCTTGGGGAATTGGAGTTTCCGGTGAGTACCTGACTAATGGTATCAAAAACAGGAAGCTGAGAATTGTTTATTTTGATGGATTCAGCCAACAGAAATGGAGCCGGAGCTGGTATCGTAATTAGCACCTAATGGGCGAGGTTTACACGATGTGCAAAGGGCTGTTTGTTCCTGGTCAGCTAATAAATGGCAAGAAAATATGAAAAGCCATGCAATCATGGGGATGGAAGCTCTCCTTGCATCCGATGCTAAGGAGGTCGAAGTAATAGGAAGAATCGTTTAATTGTTATTGAACATGCTAACGAGAGATGGGAAGGTAGAAGGAAAAAAGACTGAAAGCACCTATGTTGAGTACTTGTTGAAAAAGGCAGCACTAGTTTGACAAGATCACTTTTCACTCACCAATTAGGAAAAGAACCTAATAACAGAATTTCCAGACGGCCTTGGCCAAACTTTAGCATGCGGCTTGGCATTAATTTAGTAAAGTTCCGAAAGAAGCCATTTATCATTACCACAGCCAATTATCCCGTGCTATAGAAGAAACATTTTGTGAACACAGATAGAGTCCGGAGGAAGAACCATGGTTTCACTGGATATCCCTGAGGGTACATGAAAGACGGTACTTTTTCCTGATGATGCCTACGAAAGAAAGAACGTGCAGTTCTCCAGAAAAATGGCTTCTGAATTTATGTTCTAGCCGATTTTGGTGAACTCTACAGAAGAGCTTGGATGGAATGTTGCTGAAGATGTGTGAGCAAGAGGAGAAGGAGAAAGACATAATGAGGACAGGTGGCATGAAGGAGTTTGCGGTATCTGCATTTAAGCGGCATGAGCTTAGGGCAAGAAAAATAATGAGGCAGGGTTTATTTCTGGATGAAGATGGAAAGGTGGACTATGTTCAGTAATG